AACTGTTAAATTGGGATTAGTATAATTGATGAACGGTTCTGTTTTTCAGGTTATTTGTTTAGCTTTAACCACGAGCATATTGTGGTAACCAAATATTTATAGAATGATTGAGATTTTTCTATGAGAATTAGATATAGCACCTCTGAAATTAATGATACTTTAAAAATAAAGACAAACCATTAGTGAAATAAACAATCCTAAAAATTATAATTGGTTTCTTTAAACCTTATCTTTGCATTTGATGTCGATACTTGTGATCCGTGGTGAATTATACCATACATTTGAAATTATAAATACTTATCGATTTATATATGAGATTACTTAAAGTCAGATGATGGGTCACTTGTATAATTTGTTTTCATTTCTCTTATTTTAATAATAATAATAAATAATATTATAAAACGGTGAAATTAATTATCCATCAACAATTTTCCAACTTTTAAAATTTTAACCTTATCAACCCTCCTTTAAAATACTTCTTATTTTTATTATAATTAATCAATTATTTAATAAAATTATATTTCATAATTTAATAAGCTATCATTACTACAATTTAATTTAGCAATTTCATCATTTAATATTCTGCTTGTATGTATGTTAATGAATGTGATTTATAAATTTGTTGCGAATTACTATTATCACTATTATTATTATTATTATTATTACGCTATTATTACCATAGTGACAGAATAATAATATACAATATGAAAATGTCTTAATATCATCTACCACGCTGCTGGAATTGGGCTTTAATTTTGTTTCCTAAATTTGCAAATTTCTTTTCTTCCTTAGGTTTAGTAGCTAAATATGATTCTCAATTTTTTTGATTCCTTTGGCTGATATTTCATCTATCTCTTTTTCCTTTAACTCTTGTATGCCAGTCATTTCAGCATTTAAAACCACCTGAGTGTTGACTATATTTTCTTTTTCTTCTTAATCTTTTATATATCCTTGAAATCTGGCAATGTTTTTTAAACTCTCGTTTTTTTCCTTGACTTCTTAAATTAAATTCTTTGCTGTGGAGAAGTAGTATAAGCAGTAACCACCATTATCAATTTATCTCAACCGGCAAGTTATTTTGTTGATAAAATTGCTTTCTCGTCAAATGTTACTTAATTCAAACTGGTTGGTGTTCTGACCATCCTTTCTTTTTGACCTTTTCCCAAAGTTTTATGGATTCTTTCTCAATACCTTTCTTGGCAACTTTTTAATCATATTGTTTATACTTCTCATAGTTTTTTTAAACTTCCATGATAATCATCAAAATTAGTATTATTATATTTTGGTTAGATTTCCCAACCATTTTAATTCTTGCTGAGTGTCAATATTAGCAATATCAGCTAAATTTCCTTAGGAAAATCACTCTCTGCTTGCATCTTACCTTGATTTTTCCCTGTCTCTTCAATAGTAAAATAATTTCCATTGGTAAACCATTCTTAACAATTTCAGAAGGTTTAAGTTTATGCTTTTCAAACTTATTTAATTCATCAATGGCTTTATTTGTCTCTTAGAAATAGTTCTTTATGTTATTCATAATAATATTTTTATAATTGCTTTGTGATTTGATTGTGATACTTGTAACCCGTGGCAAATAACATCACAAATTATTTATTTTATAGACTTTTCAAATATCAAGACCATACTCTGCTTTAAAGTAAGATACTTCCGAATTACTTCCCAGTTATAAATTTTATTATCTGTGAAATTATTTAAAGTCAGATGACAGGTCACTTTGTATAATTTTTCATTTCTCTTTATTTTAAATAATATAAATAAAAATTTATCCATCAACAAATTAAAATTTTAACCTTCCTTTCAACTATTTATTTATCCTTTATCATTGTTTTTAATTAATTAAATTTATTTAATAAGCTATCATTACTTAAATTTAATTTAGCAATTTCATCATTTAATATTCTACTTTCATGGTATGCTAATGGATGTGATTTATAAATTTGTTGTGAGTTACCATTATCATTACTATTATTGTTATTACCACTACTGCTACTACTACTATTATTACCATCACCACCACCAATATCACTGCTATTTTCATAAATTTCTTGTGATTTATTAGTAGCAAATGCAGTCAGCTCTGGAGCAGTTGGTCTCTTAGTTGGATCCATATCCCAACACCTTTGCATCATTTGTGCATAATCATTAGGCATTCCTAGTAATATTGGTGGTCGTAAGCCTTCACATATATCTACCATTAAGAAATGATTATGAGCTTTATCATCAAATGGTGGATGGCCTGCAAATATTTCCCACATTAACATTCCAACACTATAAATATCTGATTCTTTTGTATTCTTTTTTCCTTTAAATAACTCAGGTGCAAGATATGACATAATCCCATAAACCTTATTTGATGATTTTTCATCAACTGGTCCACATAATCCCAAATCTGTAATGTAACTACCACCTCTATCCATTAATATATTACCACTGTGTACATCACAATGAATTAAATCATCTCTATGTATTTGATTTAATGAATCACATAAACAGCTAAAAATATTAATTCTACCTTTTAATGTTAAATTTGAATGATTTTTTTGTAAATAATCTCTTAAATTTCCTTCTGGTGCATAATCTAGAACCATTGCATAATTTCCATTTTCTCGGAATTTAGTTATACCATAACAAGGAATAATTAAATCTGTTTTAATTTTACAATAATTCAATGCCTATAATTAATCATATAAATAAAAATAAAATCAATTGATTTAAAATAAATAGTTGATTTAATTTAAATAAGATTGATTAATTACCTCTAAAAAAAAAACTTCCTGGATTACTTGAATTATTTAAAGATTTTAATACTACTTTCTGAGCTCCAAAATAATTAAATTCTTTTTTATTTTCATCATAATCATCAATAGTTCCTCTTGTCCACCTGGCAGTATAAATTGAACTGAATCCACCTTCTGTTAACTTTTTTATATTTTCAAATTGCTCATAAGGTACCCATTCTATAATTGCATCTGGAAGAGATGAAAGATTTTGACATTTTTGAATAAAATTATCAATTATTTCATTTCCAGATGTCCAAGTATCAAAGAGATTCTGCAAGTGTAAACTAATACACTCTTCACAAAATTTATCAGAGTATCTTGTTACTCCACAATTTTTACATTTTCTTGGTTCTCCTAATTTATTCCTTGCATTCTGTAATTCAAATTCATAAATAATCATTTCTCTACAATATTCTTTTTCATTTCTAAAAGGTTTTTGTTTTCTTTGACTAATTGTAAAAAAAAATCTTTTCTATTTTTTTTGTCAATTGAAAAGGCAGAATAGGCATTATTATACATTTCATTATAAATTTTAAGTACCAATTCCTTTCTGTTTACTGTCAATAATTTTACAGGGTGTTAAGAAAAAAACGGCGGTTGGTAAAAATATTGTTTTTAATGAAAAAGTAGCCAAAATTATATGATGAAAATTATAACAGAGAATCGGAGGATCTTAGATTATAACATATGAAATTTTTGAAGCATGTTATTATGTAGGCTTTAGAGCAATTATTAAAGAAATTTACACATTAAATTGTTTTTTTCAAAATAATCAAATTCCTTTTATTTCCAATTGACAAAATTCTAGAAAATCTGGAAGTATGAAAGTTTATATATATAATCTCCAGAACTTTCATTACACACCGGTATAATTTTTTGTATGATTATTATGTATATTTTTGTGTCAGGCTTATTATTAAAAATTTCCGTGTTAAAATTTCAGAGGCAAAAATTTTGCAAAGTTTTAAAAAAAAGATATGAATTAGCTTTATAGAAAATTGGCAATAGCATATCACATCTATTTTTTTATTTGTTTATCTTGCATAATTGTCAAGATATGAAATTTTTTGTACGGGCCCTTTTTTTTTAGAAACACTGTACTACATTGACATTGATGTCATTATAAGTCTCTGGAACACCATAAATGTTATTTGATTGAAAATAAATATCACTACCACCACCAAAAGCGGGTAAATAAGAAAAATAACAAAAAATTGCACAAGAATTATCAACAACTCTGCAGTATTGATATTATTTCTATCATTTATATTAAATATAAAACTTTCACTTGTTGCTTTAAAATTTCCTGTTTCATTCCAATCAAGTGGATTGTAACCACCAATTATTTGATTTGAATTTTGTATTTTACTAACTACAAGAGTTTTGTTGATATTATCACGTTTTTGATGAAATATTGTATGATCTAAACCATCTCTACTACTATGATATAAAAGTTTAAATTTATATTTAACTTCCCTGAACAAAGTATATGGTGTACTTTTTCTATCAATCCAATTTGCAAAAAGCAAAGTAAGCTGTTCATTAATTGTTGTTGATTCAAATTTTGGATTTCTTGATGGCAATAAGTTTAATGCTTGTTGACTATTAGGAACTGAATAATATAATATGTTGTTCCAGAAAAAGTTTCTGATAGGGCATAATTTTATTCATTAGAAATAACCTGAAATCTTATTAAAGAAATAAGCTCCTTTATTGTGTTACTTAAATCAATAAAATTTTGTGATTTATTGATTTCTGGGATGTCTTGATAATCCCCATTTAAGAACATCTTCCTAAATAACTATTTCATCAACAAAGACATCATCAAGAAAATAAATCTTACATAAACCTACGTAGGGTTCAGAATTGGCCAGCATTATGTCGATATTTTGGTAATTCTGTTAACATTTCCGCACAATGCTGGTCAGTTTTAAACCCTGCGTAGGTTTACACGAGATTTATTTTCCTGATGATCATCTCTTTTGAGAATTTCCAGTAGAATTGGTTTTTCCAATGACTCAAATTCATTTGACTGAAATAATTTTTTACTATAATCATAAAATTTTTTTAGATAGATATTTTTCAATTCCTTAAATTTTTCATTAGAATAAATCAATTGTAGAATTTCAGCTGGGGTTTTTTTTATATAGTCATCATGTTTTTTAACAAAGTAATTCATTGTATATTTATAAAATGAAAAGAATGAGCGAATTATATTTGAACTCTTTGATGGTAATTTAAATCGTCGTGAAAATAATGTTGAAAAATGTCTAATAATTTATTTTTCATTTATGCAATTTTCCGTGCGCGTCCTTTTTTTAATTGATTTTTTCCAGTTATTCTGGCCAGGTACATCAGATCTTGATGTGTTAAAAATATTTTGTATTTTGAATGTCTATAAATTGCATGCAAAATAAAAATATTATATTTCCTGACTTATCGTTGATACAAATTCATCAAACTGATAATATCGAATTGGGGTAATGGCGAGGATAATTGTTTTCTCATTAATAAAGTAAGACCTGACAGGAATATACTAAATTATCGTTTCTTTTAAAGAATTATCAGGTAAAAATTTGATCTCAATGGCTGTTCAAATTTGCTTCTTGTTTGTTTCATATATGTGTGTTTTTATATCATACCTACGTAAAAGTACAAAGTATAATGAGATACAACAACTTCAAATGATTAATTGTTTTTACATTTTTCTAGATAGAAATACGATAGAACCAATATTAATATGTACAGTGATGATATTATGCGTGAATTTTAAATTCACGTGCACAAACTCACAACAATGACCACAGATTAATTGTTGTTGTTGTTGTTGTTATTATATATTATTTTTAGCAATTTTCGTCATTAGTTATTAATAAACCCAAAAGATTACCATAAATATAAAAACAATATAGAAATCGAATTGGAGCTAAATTTATCGAGTTAGTTTTAAAACTTTGACTCGATATTTATCTATTTCTTAGAAATCATCAAAATAAAATAAGCCATGAATATGTAATCGATAGAGAAAGGTATTCATCACCTGAAAGATTTTATATCACAGATTAATTATTTATATGTTTTCAAAAAACATCATTGACGAAGAAATCATTGTTGATATAAGTTTAACAAAAAAATTTGATGTTATACTTATAGAACTTTGAACCTTCACATCACAGTATCCTAATAATGGTAATAATAATAATACAGAAAATGTGGATATTATACATAGCCAGCTCCGTCAATCCGAAAGCATTCGCGCTGCCACTTTTCTTTGGTAAATTTACATAGATTTTGTGTTTAGGATTAACGAACTTCAGATTAACGGGCGACTATGTAAATAATAGCAATGAAAACACTTATAATAATGATAATGAAGATGGAGGGAGCAAGAGCATAAAAGTAAATAAAGATATAATATTGATGATAATGTAATAAAAATAATCCTAAACCTGAAATAAACCGTTTAGCGAGAAGAACAAATCATTTCCATTTGTTTTAATCAACGTAGCAACGAAAACGAAAACCCAGGATTCATACAAATAAAGCTTTAGAAGAAGCTTTATCACCAGTTTTTGATACACGGCAAAACACTGAATTATTTATGAATTAGAGATTTATCAAAGTTTATTTTATTACCATTACTTCTTCTACACATGAAACCAAAAAATTATCTGACCCTTTACTTTCCAGCTTGGATTGAATTAATGCAGACAACAACCAGGAAAATTCCTTTTGGATAAATATTATTATTTGATCAATTTGGTTTTATTGACTTTGCTGTCAGAAATCGAAATTATATCCGAAATCGGAGTCAAATAATTTTTATATATTTGAATATTCGTAATATCCGTAATACTTTCGAATATTTGTAATGCTTCGATAAAAATGTCTTCAGTAAATGATGGTATTATTTTAATTAATTATGAAAAAGGAACAATCACAGTTACAAAAGGCAAATTTATTTATTGATAAGAATCCTATAATAATAAATACCTAGTAAACTCCCATTCCACATTTCGATCGCAATAAGATATAAACAAAAGATATACAAAAAAAAAATTTGTGCCTCCAGTTATTAATAAATAACTTGTCTCCTTCAGCAGAAGAAATTAATCCATCATTTATCTGGAGAAAAAATGTCAAAGCTGAAAAAAATTTAATAGAGTCATTGGAAAAATTGATAGAATTTGATCTTGATGATGATGAAAGTGGATTTATTGATATAAATAGAGACCCACAATAAAAGTGATTTAAATAGAATGATTTATTTTATTAATAAACACTACTTTCATACATTCATACACAAATTTCAAATATATACATTTTTTGTAGGGTATACCTACATCAATCAACTTCTTTCATTTTACAAATGAGTGCTTCATCAGACTAATTTGAATGTATTGAGACTATATGTGCTGCCCAAATTAAAAATCAAGAACCCCGAATTACTTTGCACATCCCAAATGTAAAATCCCAAAATAAAATAATGCACCAAAGAGGTTGTTAGTAGTTTGGAATTTGGGAATTCTTTGACATACTGCCCCAAATTCACTTTGTACATTTGGGATGACATAACCCCAAATGGTTTGGGAATCATGTACAATTGAGACACTACCATATAATACAAATGTAACTCCCAAAACACCCTCATTGCTTAATGAATCCATCACATGCCTGGTGGTAGATCTGGTGGTATATAATCACCTGATGATGATAATCTTAATGTAAATAACATTCTAAATGAATTCCTTGCCATAGCAGACTATAATTAGATCCTTGTCATAATGGGATTTTTAAGTAAATTTTTTTTTTATGTATCCCATTCATCTGCCGCGACAAGGTTTGAAAGGAAAAAAAATTAAAGCTTTTTCTCATGCTAATCTATTGACTGGGAAAGAACATAGCAAGAATTAAACCCTGTTAAAAGGCCAGATTAATTTAATCGATTTTAATCAGCATAACCACAAAACCCAAAGAGATTTGCATTAATCTCCCAAAACAGAGAAGCCTTGGAAGAAGCTTTATTACCAGTTTTGTTACTGAACAAAATGCTAAATTATTTGATAAAGAAGTGGATTTATCAAAATTCATTTTAATTGCTACTATTTTTACACATGAAACTGAAAAATATTGGGTTTTTTGCTTTCTTGTTAATGTCAACACTGCTCAGAGAAAATTCACCAAATCAGATGTATTAACAATTTCGGAGCAATGTTTGCATAAATGAGTTTTAATTTATTCAAAAAAGTTTTCTTGGACAAATATTATTATTGACTATTAGTGCCTTCACTTTTAATTAATTTAGTTTTATTGGTTTGTTGTTGGTTCCAAAAAAATGTAGTAATTTATATCAAATCCTTGGTAATACAAATGTTCGCTTTGTTTCCTAACCTTGTGACGGTTTCCCTATATTATTTTAATAAACCAATTGCTTGAGTTATATCCTAATTTAAACTTATTTGTACATATATACAAGTGCAATTTAACGTTTTAATTTTTTTTTTTGATATGAATGAATTATTCTCTTTAACAAACAACAAAGAAATTAGTATGAATTATTCGCTTTTTTTTATATGGCAACTTGGTTGATTCCTTTTAACAATAAAGAATTGATTTAGGTATCATAACAACTGAATTGCCTACTGATGAAAATATTGTCGAAGATATTCTCATTTCAGAAGGTGTCTAGAAATCCAAAGATATTGAAATAGGAGAGGAAGAGGAAATGAACCGGTTATTTCTAATATAAGAAGGAAGGAAAGCATTTGAAACTACAAAAAAAAAAATGTTAAATTAAAAATCACATGAAATGATCAACCGCTTTCACCTCAATTATACCCATCAAAGTACTGGTACAAGAGGAGGATATAAAAGAGGTATGACTGTAATAGACCTTAGATCTTTCTGACAGTTAGTGTAAAATTAGTAGGAGATAACAATTTATTATTATTATTATTATGGAACTGGCATAAATGACCCGTGTAACATTTTATCGTTATTATATAACGCGAATTTAATTATAATCCGTTGTGGCAGGGTTTAATTGTATTCACCATGCTTAAAAAACCAGTAAATTAAAACAATATTTTGAATTAATGATTGATCGATCGATTGATTTGGCAGATTCATTTATTTGCTTTATTTTAAAAATAGAAAATTTAAAACACATTTTGTTTATTTAATTAACGTTTATTTTTTACCAAATTACTAAGCAATATGATTTTCAATAAAACATCCATGATTATTACTTGGATCAATAGTAATAATAATAATAAATAAATAAATCTTGTAAACCAATGAAATACCTTTAACAATAACCAATAAAAATTTTCTAAATTCATGATTAATTTTCATTTGTAATTCTATCTAAAGCCAAAGTATATTCTTGAATGAGTTGTTGTAAAGATCGATTAGTAGCTGAATACATATAAAAAGATATTATAAATTTAATAAATTTTAGAGAATTTAAATTTGTATTGAATTGTATTTGAATTGAATTGGAAAAATTAAAATTTATTTAGTATTAGTTTTACATAAGATAGCCAATACGTCTTTTAATAATTCATGTTTAGACATTCCCTATTTAATATATTTTTTGAATTGATAATTAATAAATAGATTAAACATTAAAAAATAAATATCTGTTATGTGTACGTATATCACATACTGCTATAAAACGATCCCTGTTTACACCATTTGCACTAATAAAATTGATGAATATATTAATCATTAATAATAGATTAGTTGAAATAATAATCATAACAATAAATTATTAATACTATACCAAACATCAAATGTATCTAAAAGTCTTGAACAGAGTATATTTATCTTCTCACCATTGCCAACATCAGCTAATGCTTTAGCATAACTCAACAAAATTTCTTTGTATTCATTAGGTGAGCTAACCAATTCAGCTGACAACAATTGATTATACAAATGTCCAAGTTTACTTTCGCCTTGGGCCAAATATGACAATGTACCATAATTATCACCTCTATCCCTTGCAATCTTTTCTATTGTATTTAATATTCCTCTTGTATCGTCACCACCATACTCTTCTGTGGTAGTTTTCATTTTTTCTTTTGATGAGTAGCGTGGATCATAAATCTGCACCCATGTTTTTGCACTAAGATGATAACACCATGCTTCGTTTGTGTCTGTCATTAATATTGGTACCCCACGAGGCCTGATAAATATCTTTTCAATTGATGCATAATGAAGATCAGCTAACGATGTGCTGGATGGTTGAATAATAGGTACTATGGAAACAGACGATACTATTGATTCTAATTTTGGTAGTTTCCTATAAATAAAATAAAATAATCATGTCTTTTTTATTTCTCAAAAAAAATCTTCCTTTTACAATCGTCATCATCATCATTAAACTATTACTTACCAAACATTAATTATTCCCGTTTGAGATAAACATAATAAATATTCCCTTGATATTAATAGATGTGATGCAGCCGAGTCAAGTACAATATTTAATAACAATCTATAGATGAAATTTTTTGTTAGGGAAAAATTTTAATATAACGAATAAATTATCTATCATCTAATCAAAACAATTATTTATTACCTTAAGCCACTATGGTCATATATTATAATACTACCATTCTCACATCCAATAACGACATATTTATCATTACCAGCAATCAATGTTACTGCATTGGGAACAACATCGCTCCAAAGATTTACTTTGTTAAGAGAACAAACAATTCTTGAAAGACCTAAGAAGAAAAAATATATACGTACACATATATGAAAATGTATATACATAATAATTTTTTAAAAAATTTTTACCTTGCCGATCGTTATGACATTCAACTTTAAGATCTTTCTTATATTCAGATAAATTTTTGGAAAGAAGAAATTCTTTGACTTTATGAGAAGACAATCGAACTTGTGACATGACAACCGATGGAGTAATCATTGATGATCTTATATTATCATTTTTATTATTTGATGTTGATATTGTTGATGATGATGATAGATTTTGTGTTCCACCATTCACTTTACCACCAGCAGCAGATAGTGTTGGCCTTTTGTTTGGTAAAGTAGAGCCAGTGTTTGAATCCAAAAGCACCGTCTCTTTTCTTCTTTTATTTCCAATGCATGCATTTTCCCTACTTATCTCATTATTTGGTGGATTAGTATCAGAATTTGTTGTTAATTGATTGAAATTATTTAATATTGAGGTTGTTGTTGTTGTTGATAATGATGATAATGATGATAACGATGATGAAATGTTATTATTCGTCGATGTAGCTTTCGTAAATGAAGTAGATGAGGTACTAAATTAATTTTATTATCGGGGAAGTGAATAAATAAATAAATATAACAACTAATGAAAAATATATATCTTTTTAGTACCTTATTAAAAAATTGGGTCGAATACGTTTTTTACCATCTTTTGTAATATTGGCAGGAGTAGAAGAAGTTGTTGCTGTTGCTTGATTTGAAGATTGGATAGAAGGAGAATCATTTAAAATTTGCATTTGAGGAACCTTATCAGTTTTTCGGGTATTGTTATTTTCGCTTTCGCGATCATTTTCCATTTCTGTATTGTAAAGGTGTGTTATAGTTGGTTGTTGTCGTCAAAAATAAAGGTCAATAACTGGTAACCGGCTGGTAATGAACAAACAAAGTCGTGGGGTCTTTATTTATTATTTATATAATCAAGTTTGTTTATTTATTATATTAAAATTTTTAAATTAATTTATTATAAGAACTAAAATTTAGTTTATTTTTATTATTTTTATAATTGAAGTTTACAAATATAACAACATTCTTGTTAGAATTGTTAGAATACATATCAATATCCAAAAATGTATTTCGCTACTATTTTATTACTATTATATATGAAAGTGTACCAGTTCTCTCGGCCCAATTTCCCACTTTTTAAAATTTTGGTTATTGGTTCCTATAAATGAACTGGTATCATATTTAATATAGTGAACAATTCGAAAAAATATTTTTCTGGCAATAAACTTTCACCTATTTTTTAAAAAAAATAAAAAAGTTTATCGTGGCATACGTTCACATAAAATGATCCAGAGAAAAAAAAAAAAATTTTTTTTTTCTTACAGATTATATTCATCAATTGATCATCATCATCATCAATTTACTTTCCTATTTTGGTTGTATGTCTAAGCGTCCCTTAAAAGGAAAATTGATTCACTCACTGAACCGTATCAGTTAAACAATTAAATTAAATTAAATTAAATTAAATCGTTTTTATTTATTCTTTTTCACTTTTTAATTTGATTAAAACGAAAAAAACACAGTCTTTAATAATAATATATCATTCATTGTATTAAAAAAAAAAAAAAATTCCTTTATAAATTGCGTCTTTCTTTAAATATATATAAAAACTGCTTTATATTATTCAAATAAATTCATAATACCATGGCTTCTTCTATGGAAAGGGTTAAAAAAGTTGTCAACGAAAAACATGAACGTATTTTACTTGAATTGACAAAACAATCAGGAAACGATGTATGCGCTGATTGTGGCTCTAAAGGTTAGTTATTGTTGAAGAAAAAAATAAAAAAGTTAAATTTTTTTTTCATCATAATCTATTTTTCATTTATAATAATTTTTTTTTTTTGTGTACTTAGGACCACGTTGGGCATCTCATAATATTGGAATATTTTTATGTATACGTTGTGGTGGTTTGCATCGTAAAATGGGAACTCACATATCAAAAGTTAAATCAATAACTTTAGATTCTTGGACACCTGAACAAATAGAGGTAATTATAATAATAATGATAATTTTTAAATTTAGAATAAATTAAATATATACTTATATACTTGTATATATGTAATAGAATATGCGACAATGGGGAAATTTAAAAGCAAATTTTAAATGGAATCCTCATCCTGAAATTCACCCTGCTCCGGTTAATGCTTCTGATAGGTAATTAGTTGATTTAATTTAAAAGTTTAACATCCTTTATTCCTAAATAATATTATTAATTATTGATGGGTTGATTGTATATAGTGAAATGGAAAAATTTATTCGTAACAAATATGAAAGAAAGATTTTTATGGATAATCCAAATAAGGTGAATGACAGCAGATATGTTATAATATATATTTTCTTTCAAATATATTATCAATATTCTTATTATAATTTTTCTAAATCTTTATGATATTAGCCACCACAATCAAAGAGCAGTTATATATCATCACCATCATCGTCATCATCCAAACGTAACTCATCCTATCCTGCCTCTTCATCCAACTCCACCTCTTCTAGTTATAATAGCAATAACAACAATAATGATCATGCACCAAATTATGATAATTCACTTCGTCAACTTAGAGATATGGGATTCACTGATAATACTAAGAATCGTGAAATATTAAATACAACCAAAGGCAATCTTAGTTCTGCTATCGAGATATTAGTTAGATTACCACCTCCTAGTAGTAGTAATAGTACTGCTGGTGATTCTAAGAATTCCATATCAAATACAACAACAACAACAGCTACGTCAAAATCCAGAATTTCAACTAATAGCAATGCTAGTAGTAATTCTTTATCATCATCTTCTAATATTGATGATAAATTGGTTCAATTATGGAATATGGGATTTCAAGATGAACCCAAGAATCGTGAGGCACTTCGTAGAACAGGTGGTAATTTGGAAGTAGCTGCTGCTTTGTTACTTGAAGCTCGTTCAAAACAAAATGATAATAATAGTATTATTAGTATTGATATTAAAGGTAATAACAGCAATAATATTAATAGTCATATTAAAATTCAAAGCAATAATCCATTGATAGATGTCTCATCAAGTAATAATAATTTATTAATTTCTGACAATAATAATAATAATAATAATCCTTGGAATCAGTCCATTCAATTAAATGGTTTGTATTATTATTTGATTCTTATAAGAAAACTTTGATTTTTTTACACAAACTCTTAGTTAATTTTTCTTATTTTTAATAAAAAATTTTTATAAAGGAATGAATGTGCAATTTCAACAACATCAGCAACAACAACAACAGCAACAGCAGCAACAACAAATGTTATTAATATTAGGACAGCAACAACAGCAACAACAACAGCAACAACTTTTAAAACAATTAGAACTTCAAGAATTACAAAAGCAACAACAAACTGAATTATTTAAACAGCAAATGATGCAAAAATTGAGATTGGAAGAGGAACAAAAGCAACAACAACAACAACAACAAAATAACTTAAAATTACAATTGCTACAACAGCAGCAGCAGCAAGAGCAAGAAAGGCAAAAACAATTACAATTGCAGCAGCAGCAACCAGTAACAAATAAATTTGATAAGAATGCAATATTATCATTATATAATAACAATAATATAAATAATATAAATAATGGATTGAATTTAACATCAAATCAATTCGGAATTAATAATCATCAATCTATGCTACTAAATAACAACCAAGGTCAAGTGTTACAAATGGGTGGTGGTAGTGATGGTTTATTGGTTGGAAAAGGAAGTGATTATAACATTGTGGCTACAACAGGAAATAATAATTTATTTGCTTCAACCATTTTTAACAATAATAATAATGGTGTTGGTGGATTTACCAACAATAATAATTTTTTTGGGCTTAATACTAATAGTAACAATTTTAATAATATTAATAATAATAATATGAATATTTTTGGAACGAATTCAATAAATCAACAAAATTATTCAACAACATCATCATCTTCTATTATTGGAATGTCGAATTCATTGAATGTTTCTAATAATAACATTCAATCAATGCTACAACAACAACCATCTTCATCATCATCATCATCATTAGGGATTTTTGGAAATCTCCAACAACAACAACAACAACAGCAGCAGCAGCAGCAACAGCAACAACAACAACAACAACAACAACAACAAAATAATAGTAATAGTAATTATTCATATAAAATGAGTCAACAATCATGGACAGGATTTTAATCTTTTAAATAGGATAACATTTAAAATGTTATCAATTGATAATATTTTTAATTTTTAATTAATATATTTTATTTATTATTATATAATAGAGTATATAAAATAGATTGTAATTATATTGTAATAATCCTTTTATTATTTATTTTGAGGAGAGGATGAAGAAATATATATTAATTAATATCATTAATAAATTATTATCAAATAATCTATCATTATTATTTATCATTACTTGGATAAATAATTGAATAAACTGTATTCATTTATTAGTCACTTGCATCACTTGCTGTTCCATCATCATCATCATCATCATCTTGAGCAATATCTGCACCCTTTTATAATAATTTTTAATGAATGATTTATAGGATGAGAAATTATCTCTTTCTTTTCTCTTTAATTCAATCACCTATATAATATATCTATTAAGAAATATCATACCATTTGTAAAGCCAAAGTAGCTTGTTGAAGCAGATTTTTTAATTCTTGATTATCAAGGTCAACTAATTGTTTAGGAGTTTGTTTATTTTTATTCAAAATCCTTTTTAAGGAAGTGAAGAACGATGTAAGTATGGAATTGAAATAGATGTTATTATTTTGTTATTATTGTTATTATTATTATTATGAAAATTTACCTTGGATCAGCACCGTAATCAATTAATAATTTCACTAAATAATAAAAACATAAATATAAATAGTTTTTCTTACAAATTATAAATTCTAAAAATATGCTTGTATGATAATGATGATGATTTACCAATTTCATATGATACTGAAGGATCATCTTTATATTCTACAGCTTGATGTAAAGGTGTATTTCCCTCTAATCGATTCTTTTGATCAATTTTAATTCCTGGTTGATTTAAAAGTTTTTCTATGACACTTAATGAGCCAAACTTTGAACTGTATAAATTATTACCAAAATAGATGAATAAATATTGTGCGTGTGTATGAGAAAAATGAAATAATAATAATAATCATTATTATTGAAGTATACTCAACGCACGCATAATGAAGTGCCGTGTTTCCTATACCATCACTATAATTAATATCGTATGTACTAGATTCAGAAAATATCTCATCCAAAATCTCTTCAGAATCTTGTTTAGCTGCAACTAAAAGTAATTCATCTATTTATATTATATATAGTAAATACGTCGAATATAGATAATGAATGAATAAAGAAATTACTCAAAAAAATAATTAGCTAACTAATAATGATTTTATTTTTTGTTCGTGATTACTATTAAAAACAAAAAAAAAACTAACTATTTGATGCTCCTTCTTCATCGCCAGACATTTTTTAAATTATTTTATTATTATTTGAGAACAATCAATTTTTTGCAAAATCTGCACAAATTCAGGTTTTACCAAAATTAGAGGATTTTAGGAAAATCAAGACTTATATGGGACGTGTAACATTGATCATTACATAAATTTCCAATTTTACTGTATTTTTAAAAGAAATATGTATAGGAGATATTCCAAAAAAAAGGAGGAGATAAAATTACATCAAATATGTTACTGACCTCCAAAATACTCTTATTGAAGTTTAGCACCAAACCATACTTATTTATCAATTTTCTTCTGGCAACCTGAAAACTTTTATCATCACTATGTACCTATCATTCCTTGTATCATTGACAATTGTAATGGGAAGACTAGATCAGAAGGTAGACACACAATTAATTATGGTACAAATAAAAATGTTTTGCTACATAGTTGGAGTTATACCTGTGATTTTTGTAAAATTAACTTTTATTCTTATGATGAAAAGGCTGTTGAGAAAATTACCAGAACATGGTATGGTATGTTTATGAAATAACTTTATATATATTATTAATTTAATAATTATTTTTGACATCATGTATTATATTGATTGTTCAATTATAAAAATGTGTGATTGGAATAATCAAAATTATTTTTGAACTTTTAAAGATTAAGGCTCCGAATGAATCGATTCAAGTCGAATTTGAGAGTAATTCATCATATTAAATTTATATTTTTAATTTGATAATTTAAATTTATATTACACAGTGAATCT